CACATCCCGGAAGGCCCCTGGCAGCAGCCCTGAAATGTTGTTGTGAGCCAGGGCCAGGCGGGTGAGGGCAGGCAGGCCCTGCAGTGTGGGCAGCACCCCCAGGGCATTGTGGGACAGGACCAGCTCCTGCAGCAAGGGCAGGGGGGGTCCAGTGTGCAGCGCACCCAGTGCGTTGCCTGACAGGTCCAGCTCAGCCAGCTCAGGGAGGTGCTGGAAGGAGGCAGTGGAGACGGACGCCAGGCGGTTGGAGCTGAGCAGCAGGATGCCGGTGTTCCTGGGCAGGGCAAGTGGCACCACGCTGAGCCCCTTTCCGGAGCAATTGACCAGCAGTCGGTCCTTGATCAGGTTCATCTCGGACGGGCATGGCTCCCCCAGACCCACAGCGCCAGCCACGGAGAGCAGGGCCAGGAGGGCTAGGTGAGGTGAGGTGGGGCACAGCATGGTCTGCACGGGAGACAAGAGCATGCTCAGGACACAGACATCACAGGGCATGTCTACACTAACCATCTCAGACTGCAACTGAGACTTGTGACTCCCCAATCTGGAGTGCTGGGGACAACTCCCGGTGGGATATCCCACAATGGTCCCATCTACACCAACCCAGCTGGTGCTGCAACAGAGTTGGGTCCCCTGAGCAGATACTAGCTCTAATAACAAGGGCTCCCTAGCTCCCCAGTGCCCTCTGTCCCATCAGGCACCTGCACCCTGACCATGCTGGGGACCAGCTACACTAACCCTGCTGGTGCTGTAACAGTGTCAGGGAGCTGCCATTAGCACCACGAACAAGGAGTTGACTCCCCCACACCTCCAGACTGGACTAAACTCAAAAGGTTTGAATCTATCCCTGTAGTTTCCTTTTCACCTAATCCCATATCTTCTGCTCCCCTTATAGCCAAGGCAGCTGGTCCAGCCAGGAGACGCCCCTCCCGCCAGGTAATTACCACATCCAGTCCTCACCTGCCTTTGCTTCAACCACTTCCCCCAGTGGCATCTGCGTGAGGGGAGCACGATTAAAGCATCTAGCATTTAGTGCCTTCAGCACCAGGTGAGGGATCACTGTGTAAACAGCCCCTGTGCCCCACTCCAGAGGGGGTACATCCCTGGATTAAACAGCTTCCCCCCACCCGGAGTTTCCTGTACAAACAGCTGCCCCACCCCAGAGGTGGCTGCATCTCACTGATGCTTACCCGTCCCTATGGACTCACCTGGGGTCTCTGCTGGGGTTGCTCTCCCACCTGTGTCGCCCTCACTCCCAGCTGTGGATTGAGAGGTTGCTCTGGGTGTAGCTTTTCCCACTGTGCTGACTGACTGCATCAGGCATCCTGAGCCCAACCCCTCATATCAGCCTCTGCAGCTGCTGGGGGGTGGGTATGTGGTTTCCTGTGACATCAAACAGAGACACTGATCCCGCCTTCCCCATTCCTACCCTCAAGGCATTAAAAGCCCCCATAGAGGTCACATCAGAGTCCAGCCAGATTACAGGTGGGGACTGCTTTCTGATCCACTCCATAAACTATTGCCCCACTCCAGAAACTGTATCACAGAACCGGGCAAGGGATCCCCATACAAATAGCAGGTATACTCCGGAAGGGGACACATCTTAGTGCCAGGCAAATGATGGTTGTACAACCAGCTGTCCCACCCCAGAGGCATCTGCATTACAGCACTGGGCAAGAGCTCCTTTTATAAACAGCCTTTGTGCCTTCCCCAGAGGCGGTTGTATCTAGATTAATAAATTCCAAGGCCAGAAGGGACCACTGTGATTATTTAGTCTGACCTCCTGGCTAACACAGGCCAGAGACCTGCTCCCAAATAATCCCTAGAGCAGAGCTTTTAGAAAAATATCCAATCTTGATTTATAAATTGTCAGTGATGGAGAATCCACCACTACCTTTGGTAAATGGTTCCAGTGGTTAATTACTCTCCCCCTGCAAAATTGAGGCCTCATTTCCAGTCTGAATTTGTCTAGCTTCCACTTCTAGCTATTGGATCTTGTTCTACCTTTCTCTGCTAGTTTGAAGAACACATGATCAAAGATTTGTTGCCCATACAGATACATATAGAGGGAACCAAGTCACCCCTTAACCGTCTCTTTGTGTGAGGTGAGGGACCCTATGTAAATAGCCCCGGCCACCCACACCAGAGGAAGCTGCATCTCAGTGGTGGGGGACGGATTCCCTTATAAAATAGCCCTCATTCCGCACACCAGATCCAGCTTCCAGGTCCGTGTCAGTGGCAGACAGTGATCCCAGTAGAAACAGCCCCCACCACCCACTGGAGAAGCAGCTCTTTCTCAGCACTGGGTGAGGGATCTCAGCTCTACAGCTTCTCAGCATGGCATGGGTTAACTGCATCAGGAGATTGTGGAGGTTATTATTAACTGCGGAAGGAGTGACTGGGGTCTGGGCAAGGAGATAAATAGGAGCAGGAAGGGATTGTCCTTTGTCATCCGTACCACTCTTGGTTCCTCTAGCAACATCCCCGTCCCACAGGGATGTTAGAAGCACACGCAGTCCAGTGGCTACAGTCCTGGGGTCCTGTGAGTGATCCCACTGGGGTTAGCTGTCTCCTCCCCACTAGATGTGCTCTCTGGCCTGTCAATGCTTTGATGTTTTGGGAGTAGGTGTTGGAGAGTTGCAGGGGTGTATCGGGGTCAGCAGGGACCTCCTGATTCCAACTCACATAAAGGGTTAGTAAGAGGGGTTCAGGCCCTTCCAGACCGGCTATGTGGGGGAGTGAACAGGGAGGGTCAGGCTCTCATAAATGGGCGAGGGGCCCCAGATCCTGGCACACATACACAGGGGGAGGGAGCAGGACTCAGGTACCCACAGAGAGGCCAGGCCCCCTATATCCCAACTCACATGTGGGGGCGGGAAAGGGGCTTAGACTCCGTTGCTGGGGCAGAGGGCTCACAGATCCTGGCAGATCCTGGCAGATCCTCCCAGATACCTCACAAAGGTAGGAAGAGGGGCTAGCCCCCCCCCCCAGGTCTTAGCATACACACAGAAAGGGGGAATATGGGGCTGACTTGATAGGCACTCCGGCTGCTATTCTCCTCCAGCCACTCACCCCATATTCCCTCTTCCCTGTGTCCTTCCTCCTCACCTGAGTCCCCCAACCTTCTCACCACCCCATCCCCATTTATCCCCCTTCCCACGATACCCAATCCCCTCAGTGGAACCCCAAAACTCTACCCCTATTCCCCCACTCCTCCACCCAATGCACATCAATTTTTTTTACAAAAATACTTTGATTACTTTGCCTCCAAATAAAATAATAAAAATCCTAGACAGCGACAGATTTTTTTCTCCAACATTTTCTAGATTTCTGCCAAGTGTGGGACTTAAATGGACAGGAAGAGGTGGATCTTGTTTAAAGGCTTACCTACAAGTAGCCTTGTGCTATCCTGCTGCAATTAAATCTATAATCACTGTCTGTGCATGCTCAGTGTACTCTATTTGGCGTGTGAGCCAAGGCATGGTGACACACCTAACAGAAGAACCAAACTCTTTGGCTGATAACACTGTAATTTGATTTCCCCCAGAGGGCTGGTGTGTAACATGCATTGGGGTAACTTTCAAATGACTGAGAGCCTGGTGCGATGACCTCAGCAATGTTTTGATCTCTATCCCTGTGCAAAAAATCATTGCCAAAACATGTCAACTTTAGTCTGTTTTGTGTGTGTGTGGAGGGCCAGTATCTTGTGAGCCGCTTGTTCAAATGGCCCTAAATTTGGGTCACTAACCAAACCCCATGCCACCATGAGGAACACAAAATGTCATAGAAGATTAGGGTTGGAAGAGACCTCAGGAGGTCATCTAGTCCAATCCCCTGCTCAAAGCAGGACCAATCCCAACTAAATCATCCCAGCCAGGGCTCCATCTTCTAGTCCCTATTGCAACAAACTATCCCTGGCTAGCTCACCAAATCTGTTACCTGGGATTATCTGAACCTGAATCTGTAGTAATTTACAATTTTCTCTCAAGGCAATTTCAATCAAGGGGGGAGGGGTGTCACAGTGCCACTGGTTGATAAATGAGTGGTTGTTGCGGTGCGTGCAGGGTTTAAGGGTGGAGGGGCACCGCCTACAAGTCCACTTCCTGGCTTCTCAGACAACTGGGTCGGGGTCTGAGGCCTGAAACACAAGTGATGTCCCCTGGGGTCAGGGCAGCAGGGCCGGCTTTAGGCCGATTCGCCCGATTCCCAGGAATCGGGCCCCACGCCTAAGAGGGCCCCACGCACTCACCCCGGTGGTAGTCTTCTTCGGGGCTCCCGCTCCCCTGGCCAGAGTGCCGGCTGGGGCGTGGCAAGCCCCGCGGCCCCGCTCTCCTGGTTGGAGCGCCAGCCGGAGCGCAGCAGCCCCGCGGCCCCGCTCTCCTGGCTGGAGCTCCGGCCGGAGCGTGGCAAGCCCCGCGGCCCCGCGACCCCAGCCGGAACGCGGCAAGCCCCGCGGCCCTCCCTCCCCCAGCCGACAATCGGAAGTGCTGCCCCAGGAATTGGGCCCCGCACTTGCTAAAGCCGGCCCTGCAGGGCAGCGTGGCCTATCAGCCAGAGTCCAATGGAATAGCCCTTGGGGTCAGGGCAGCATGGCGTAGAGGCCAGAATCCCATAGGTAGGGTTCACTCACACAGGAATGTGGTGGCCCCAGTAGGGGGGCCCAGGCCCACCCAACTCCACCAGGCCCCAACCCGGGGCCCTAACAGTGGCCAAGCAATTTGCCACTGGCTCAGCTGAGCGTTCTCGAGTGTGAAGTACCACTCCTTCACCCTCCCTCGGTCACTTCCTAGCAGTATCTGCATGGAGGTCCCCCATGAGGCTTTGGCTCCTCCATGGTCCACTGTGCTGGTCGCCTCCAGAGGCTCCTCCGATCACAGGGGTTCAAGCAGATCTTGGGAGGCTCTGGTCCCCAGCACATACAGGGTCTGTGGCTGATCCTCCCCAGTAGCTTCCAAGACCGGTCCTTCCCCTGCGGCCACAAGCCCAGAACGAGCTGGGCTTCCTCCCTTTATACTGCTAGAGCATTTGGCGCATGCCCAGTCCCACCTGGGAGGTGGGACTTCTGCTGTCAATAATATGGGCTTAACCCTGTCTGAGCTAGTGCAGGGTAAGCAGACCCCGTCACAGTGGTACAAAAAAGAGTGCTTTCAACCAAAGCTCCTTCTTTATTGAGTTTTAAGCACATATGCAATAGCAATAGTCTAGAGCACCCCAGATATAGTTACCCAAAGTCTGAGATGGTTTTGAGTGGCAATAGAATATTTCAGGTGATCAGCCTTCCTCCTAGCTGCTGGGGAGTAAGATGTTAGCTCCTTGCTTGTAGAAAAACTTCTCTGAACTCATCTACATTACATACTCTTACTTATCTTTTTATAGATTATTCAAACAAAGCACATAACTTCTAGTTACCCCAAGTGGGCTAACTATTCTCCTAGCATTAGCAAAAACAACTCATCATTTTATTTATCAGCAAAACAACTTTTAGTCATAGCAACAGCATGGAACTCATAATCAGAGACACTCAGCTCCAAGGTCAGTTATCCACAATCCTTCCCATTGTCATGAATCTGTTACTTTCTCTATTCTTATTAGCAGAGCTGCAGCTGTTTTAGCTGCTCATGAGATCACAAATCCTTTCTGACTTTGTGGTGTTCACACTTAAATGGTCAGTGGTGGCTGTATACCCAAAATGGCTGCAGTTACATCAAGTCCAGTTCCCTCATAACAGGGAGACCTGGGCTCAGTTGTTTGCTCTGCACAAGACTCCCTTTGTGGCACTGGGCAGGTCACCTGGGCTTTCTGTGCCTTAAGTCCCCATCTGTATAGGACTCTGAGGATAAATACACTAAAGAGTGTGAGGCACTGAGATACTCAGAAAAAGGGATGGGTATTGTCAAGGCTGATTCCCCACTCTGGCACTTCGAGTGCAGAAGGTGGGGGCCCGCAAGGATTCTAAAAATTAATACTGGCCACTCCAGGCTTGTATTAAACTCCCAAGGTTACAGATCCCCCTGGCCTTGGGTTGGTAAATGCTGCCACCACCCAAGAGCAGAACCTTTTTGAGCGCCCAGGAAGGCGCATTTGGGAATTCCTTCCTGTGGGGTACCCCCAAACTCTTTCACCCCTTCTCCAGGGAAGAGCTGAGAAAAGGGAAGAAAAAGAAATCGGCTGTTTCCACCAGCTATCTGAAAACATATGCCCAGACCTCTTACCTCCTAAGAGACAGGACTCCAGTCATGTTCTTAAAAAAGGTAAATTTATTTTAAAAATGGGGAAAGAAAATATAT